ATCTTGGGTTGCGGTCTGGATGCGTTAAAATGCGGGGAAAAGAGAAGGCATGAAAATGGAAGAAGTGCGTTACGCAACGCATCAGCACTCCTACATACTGCCGTGCTAAGGAGAAACACCGTATGAGCCTTCAAGCGTTGCCAAATTTCCTTTGCCAAATCACATATTTTCTGGAAAATTTGTAAATATTTTGTCTTTAATTTTTCAGATAATTTTGTTCGCAATTTCACCTAAAGTTCCTAAAATTTTCAAGGAAAAATATGTATGACTTTCCTCATAATAGAGTATTTTTGAAGAGAAAATTTGGCAACATTCGAATGTTCATACGGCGTTTTTCCTCAGCGCGGCAGCATAGCAGTGTAATCTTCTCTGGTTTATGACGGAATTTTTTCATCCGACGTCATTGTTTATCATAAAACTTAATGTTTATGGCAACACCTGTTCGAGGAAGTTACTTCTCACGATCATTATCTGACAATGTCACTCGTGATTAGCGGCTGACTAATTGGAGCGCAGTTTGCGAGCCAATGACCTAGAGTAGCCAGAAAACCAGAGGTCCGAGGAGTTTCGACTTAACCTCCTTCGCTGTTTTATATCCTTCAGTGCCCTTGATTATCTATGGACCGAATTTGGATCTCAGATTATTCTATTGCGCATTGTTGCGCTCTAGGATACTGTCAATTTTAATTGCGCTAAGTGCGTATTCTTAAAAGATTGACGCCTGATTTGAGTCGATCATTGAAATTGAAATATGTTTAAAAAGTCTGTGAAGCGTATTTTGCTCGCTATTATAACAATTGAAATAAGGATAGGTAAAACAAACCGAAACACGCATTTTTTAACTTTGCAAATGGACTACATTTTGCAATTTGGAACAATGAATTCTGGCCCTGTTTAAAAACAACGTATGTGCCATTATTATCCCTATGCACATAAGTGTTTTTCCAGAGGAGCTAGACTTTATAGTTCCAAATTGCAAAATGCAGTCAAAATGAAAATACTACGAGTACTTCTAGGGGTTCATCGCTCTCCGCTTGGCTTAGTTTAATTATGCTCATTTTTACTTAATAAAAAGACTCTTCCGACTATTTTCCTCTCTTAAATGAAGGGGCAACCATTTCCGCAAAAACGCGGTCAAAAAGCTGTCCTGTCCCTAAGAGTTCCCCCTTCGCGGATATTGGTTGACCTTTACCTTTCGCCACCTGTGGTGCAAAAAGCAAGTCCGATTCCAAATTGTGAATATTTTACTCACATACGCACTGCCGCGCTAAGGAAGAACGCCGTATGAACATTCGAGAGTTGCCAAATTTCCCTCGAAAAAATGTTCATTTTTGAGGAAAGTTACGAATATTTTTCCTTTCAATTTTCAGAATCTTTAGGTAAAATTGTGAACTAAATTATCTGAAAAATTGGGAGGAAAATATTCATAAATTTACCAGAAATTCCGCGTTTTATAAAAGGAAATTTGGCAACATCTGAAGGTGCATACGGGGTTCTTCCTTAGCACGGCACTGTGCTTTCGCGGTTCCAAGGACGCAGTCTCGTGATCACTGCCGTACACATCAGAATCAGGAATGCTGGCCAGTTCGGATATCCGGAAGCGATTTTGGGTCTGCGAACCAGGAAACACCGCCATCCAGTCGGAATTTATTCTGAATGGAACCAGACTATCCTCATGTGTGGCAACGTTGTCAAACATGTCATCAAAAATAAATCATTTTGCGTGGAAATCATCAAGGGTTGAAACCGCATTAGCAATTTGAAGCTCTTCATTCAAAATGATTTTGAAGAAATCGCCCTCTCGCGGAAAACACAACGTGGTTAGCCTGGTTAACTTTTTGAATTCAGCACAAAACTGATGAGCTAGGCCAACTGGCACTGCAAGGCATGCGCGGTGCAGCCGGCTGCCAAGGCACCAAACATTGATGCCAACTAGACGATGTTCTTGGAAATGGATCCTGAAGCACGAATACTCTCATAAATATATTCTTATCTGTGCTGGGAAAATGACAGATGCATTGTTGTTTCTGAGATGTGTCAAGAGGTTGGTTCCTCTCATGGACGCAATCCAACAATAGTGTGCTATACATGGTTGGTTAAGAGCTTTTCTTATTCAAAACCCGAAGAAGGGGCTTTGCAGAGCACGTGAAATTGTATCGTTGGACAATTGGGTGTTTCATAATTAAATATCATGGTTTACATGCCGATTTTTAATTGGGGAGATGGTATTTAATTGCGTAGCAAAAATCCCGAGTATCTTGATTTACATCTTAAAAATGATTTCCACCCATCCAAGGCTAATTTTTTGCGGAAAAATTCCCGAGAATTTTTGCATGATTTTTTAAAATATTTTTAGCAAGACTGAAAAAAAAATCTTATTAGAGTTCCCTATCCAATAAAGGGTTTGTCATCACACAATGGCGGTCTACGATGTCATAGACTGTGGCACATGGTTTCCTTGTCATCTTATCAATAAAATTATTTTTTCCCCAATTATTGGCTCCTAGCAATTTTTAGCCTGCTGCCCGTAAAAATCCAACGTTTTCTTAATTTACCTGAAAAACAATTGAAGCACTGACAAGTATTTCCAAATGATGCGAAGTCGGATTTTTTTTTAGAAATTGAGAAATTCGAATTTTTTTTTATTATTTATTTATTTTTTTTTTTTTTAAGGTTGGAACTTTTGTGAAATAAGCGTTATACTCAAAATGTCAAAATTCCTTGTCTTCACAGTGCAAACGGAACATGTTGGCAGCCTCGCGCTGTGCTTGGTCTGCGAGAGCAAAACCAGCCCGGCGTCGCGGTGCGCCGACGCAGTCGAGCGCGCGCGCAGCGTACTTAGCGCCGCGCGCCGGTGTTTGCATTGAGCGGCGAACGGGCGAAGAGCGTGCGGCGCGCCGACCTTGACCCATTATTAAAATTCGTAGTCACAACTCGATCCACTGGCACAGTGACATGCATGCGCTCGGAACAGCTATCTATACTATAAGCTCCGAGACCTCCTAATTTTGCGAAACTGGTGACGCTTAGTTCCAGCGTTCTACCAAGCCGATTTTTATGATTTTTGCGGCTATCGACGGGCAATTGTCTCTAGATAAGCCAACTCTTTTCAGATTTTCAAAATATGGCCCAGGTTTTTTTATATTAAGTGGTAAAGTTGCGAATTGTCCCATTTAAACAATGTAAATTTGTATTTTTTGTCATAGTTCGTTTGAGCGTTCTACCGGGCCGATTTCCAAGTTTTTTGCGGTAATCGACGGGTAATTGGCCCTAGATGAGCCCGCTCTATTCAGATTTTGGAAATAGGACCCAGGTTTTTTTACAATCACGTTATAAAAGTGAGTGAATTTTCAGAATGCCCCGAGACTGCCACCGCTATGCGCGGGAGGATGCGCAGTGGTCGAGGAGGTTGCGCAGTAGCTGTGTAGCCTGCGCATCAGCTCTACACTTATCTATACACAAGATTTCCGCCGATTACCTCAAGACGAGCGGTGGCCGAGTCGTCTACGACGTCGGAAGTGTCCACATTGATCAAGGTGTGGGTTCGATCCTTGCCTCCAGAGATACTTAATAATTATCCGATTTAAACAGATCGTTGTTTTACTGTAATATTTCATCAAGCAATCATTCCAAAACGCGTCCTTTTGACTTCAAAAAATTTTTTTTTCTTTATTCATCAAAACCAAAAATTATTTCATTCTATTAAGTATACCTCATATCGAATTTTTTAGGGGAAAAATAAAACTAATACTAATAGGAGGGTAAGAATAGGGCCGCGAAGCGGCCCATTGATGGCGCGGAGCGCCTTCGGGGGGTTGGGCCGCGTAGCGGCCAGGGGGCTTAGCCCCCTAGTTGTAATATGATTGGCTAGCGCCGGCCGCTTGTCGCCTTCAGTTGCTAGGCTCGGCAACCCGGCATGCTTGTTTCTCTACGAGAGCACCTGCACAACCATAGAGTACATAGAGTTGTAACGTAAATGGGAGAGCTGGCGCCATGTTCTGCTCGACGAGTTCCGAGCCCGGTGTGCGGGGTCACTTTTTCGATACATATTCGATCCAAAATGGCGGTGTGGAATAAGGCCGGGCCCCCGTGTATCGCAAACAACCGATTATCGAAAAAGTGATCCGGCGCCGCACAGGAATCTCGGAATTCGGGTCCTGGAAATTGCTTAAAAGTGGCGCCAGCTCTCCCACTTACATTACGACTCTATGTACTCTATGTGTACAACTAAGCAACCGTCCATGAAATTGGTAACTCTCCAGGGGGCGAGAGAGTTGAGGAGAATGTTACGCCATTTAGTGTCAAAAAGTAACCTATGGGTAAAGAGACCTATGTTAAAGAGACGTTATTAGGGAGGAGGTTGGAGGAGTCGGGAAATTCGAAATTTAGCGTTACGTATAATTTACGGCCCTTAACTGATCGTGAAGGAACTGAAAGTCAATTTACTCGAATCTTGGCATGTATTATGAAATTGGGTAAACATTGCTCGCTGGGGGACCGTAGCCGTGGTATGTTGGACACGATTTTGCCGAAAATGTAAGATTTCGGAGTATTTTTTAAATATTTTATGCCGGAAGATGCTCAAAACAAGTAGCACATATAGTAGTTTTCCTCGCGAAAGAACGTAACTATACAATTCAATGTTGCCAAAATTCCTACGGAAAATTGTATTTTCACCGGGAAAACGTGGGAATTTCACTATTTTTCTTTTGATCCTATGCAAAAATCAGACAAATTTTGGAGCAAAATTCAACGGATACATTATTGTAAAAAAAATAATTCTTTGAGACAAATTTTGCAACCTTAGAATAGAGTTACATTCCTTCATCCAGGAAACGACGACACGTGGGGGGAGTTGGGGATGATCGTTGGACTCCCCCTGAAGGCAACTTCAAGAAGGTTCTTGACATCAAGATTCGATTTTAGAAACCTCCGGTTGCTCCGTTGTATCATTTTTGGCCGAAAATAATGTTTGACATAGTGTTTATATTTGTGTACAGGTGAACGTGGATGCCATCACCGACGGCTGCCATGGACGACGTGATGGCGAACCTGGATCTGGAGACGATCCCAGACGAGGTGATGGAGTACGCCAGGGAGAAGATCGGGGAGACTGATGAAAACAAAACACTCATGATATCAGAACTCAGGGAAATGATATACGGTAAGTTTAAACATACCTAATTCTGTCAAAATGACCTGTATACAAACACTGAAAAAAAGTCACGGGTTATCTAGACGTACCGTCCAGCCCGGGCTTAGAGGCCGAAAGTTCCGGGTGCTGGATCCGTAGCTTCGATTGTTCCGGGTGTCAGGCCCGGTACTTCCGGCCTCTAAGCCCGGAACGCGGACAATATGTCTATATAGCCTGTAAATACGGCCTCCAGAGCCGGAGTTTTTTTCAATGCATAATTTGATTACATTTTGCAACAGGGAACCACTATCTTTTGCTCTCCCATAAAAGCACCTTTCTGCGTAAAGAAACCTATGGCATATATATCGTTTCTAAAATGAGCCAGAAATAGTGGTTCTTTATTGCAAAATGTGGTCCAATTAGGACTAATGATATCAATCCGTGACGTCAGTGAAAAATATTTGAATCTGATGACGTGGATCGGTGCATGACGAAAACTGGCGATGAATATTGCACGAGCTTGAGAGACCTAATTTTCAGGGACAAATAGTGTAAACTAGTGACGTGTAAGAACGGTGTTGATTGACGACGTGGACGAATGGTGTGAATGAATGATGAAAACGTGGCCGAGGACTGCAAACAACTGAAAAGACACGTGGTTTGAATCGTGGATGCTTGATACACGGTCTATTTCCTCCTTCTTTCTCATGAAGAAAAAAAACAAAAAAAAAAACCTTGAATTGAATATTAATGTATCATTTATGGCCAAAGAAACTTACATTCTGAAATATCGAGAAGAAAAGTGATTCTTTGTTACTGACCATACAGTTGCTCAGCGAAGACTTAGCAATTAATACTTTTTAAATTTGTTTGAATAGACACGAATAACATATGCGTGTATTTTTTCCAGAAAGTGTCCAAGATGTAAAGAATTAAAAATTTAGCACTAAATGTCTCATCCTATACCCCTTTTTGACAGCAAGAAAAAGTTGTACAATATTAAAATCTAGTTATTGTTAATTTTAATGCGTATGGATGGCGGATACCTCAACATTATCCCTACCATAGTAAACTACAGCTTATATTTAAATCATTTTTAGAAAAACAATATAGACGATAATCAGTTCATATTATTGACCTTCAGCTAGTTTTTCCCACGTATAGTTCCATAATTAAGGCAAACTTCTGTAAGGACGATATGCTTTCTGGCGACATCTCTCTTCAAATGCACTTTTGAAAAAAATGAAGATTGCTAGGGTAAGAGTTGCATGTAGCATAATATGACAATAGAATTATTTTTATGAAGTTACTCTGTACCCTGAACTTTTTCCGCATGATGGGAATGGTCACTGGACATGTTATTTTGTGGAAACCTGTCCGAACAAGCATCTGAGGCATTCGATCATTGATTATCCCATTCATTTACACATGTGAGCAGTTAACGTTTCAAACCCCATTCTGAATTTGCATACTTTCTCGCAAGACTAAAGTTCATCAAACTGTAATGTTACATCTGATTTATTCAAAAATCGATTGCGTGATTAATGTACGAAATGATGGACATTAAGCTCTTTCCTTGGCTAGATATAAAGCAGTGAATCCAATTAACAATTTGAACCACAGGAAAAATAGCTTAAAATCCTGCAGACATTTATGCATATTAAATTAGCGGACTCTTGGTCAGCAAACAGTTAATAAGTAGCAAAACGCTTGTGACAGTTATATTTGTCGTAATATTCATTCAGAGGAGAAGGCTTGTTCGATCCGGAAAAATTGCTTTCACGCAATATTATTGTGTCCTCAAGACTGCGTCTTTGCTTTTTTTTTGCATTTTAAATTAAACTTTTTTCACTTTTAAAATATCTGGTTCTGATAATTGATTTTGACTCAAAAAATTATTTTTTTATTAAATAAAAATTGAATTATCAAGCAAAAAATCATTTCATATCGCTGATCATTACTAAAATAATTTATTTGTAAATAGTGGTGAAGATACATGTTTTGCTCATTGTTTTATTGCTTACAAGGACTACAAGGAATGGTTTTTGATGATGCAAGTATGTCCTATCCGAATTTTAAAACTTCTTTTGACTTAATTATGTTTTTCGTGTGTATATACATACTTTCTCAAGGTTCTTTCTGTGTCAAAATGTTTCACTTGTGGATTATATAATGCGCTGTCAATGCTTGAAACCCATTAAAATTTAAACTTAAAATAGCGTCCTTACTCCCTAGTACCTGGACTCGTGACATTTTCTAGAGGCTGTTAATAAGCTATTCAGCCTCATTGAAGAGGAGTGAATGATATTATACTTCATGGTTGATCATACCTCACGGTTATTTCAGTACGTCAAATCTGGTCAAAAATTGTGTCAAGCCCTCTAATCCCTTATTTTCAGCTTCCACGCTGCCCTCTACGATGCATATTCCCATTTACTTATCTTATTACATCTTCGATATATGACCCTGAATTTGAAATTCTGATCGTGAAGCATGCTGTTTTAACCTTGAGTGTGATCAGTGTATTCAAATGATTCGAATGAATTGACTCTTTTTTTCAACTTGAAACAGAGAGATAAAAAAACGCGTCCTGATTATGAGGTAATTTTGGATCTCTACGGAGAGTGCTTCCGGCCGCTCATCCTATTTTTTGCGTATTATGGTCTGGAAGCCACTGTCAACGTGTTGTGCGTTTATTGACGTTGAAAACAAAATAAAATGTCAAGATGGAGAGTGAGAGTTTGCAATATTTTTTTCAAAGAAGTTCCCAATAGTAGTGATTCATCATTGTGAATTTATGGCATCAAGTTCACTTATTAAGATAATTTGACTCACTCAATGAACCTGTTCAATACAGGTTGTGACCAATTAATTGGTCAATAAGATAGTTTTTGGCTGGAGATGATGATGGCTGGAGTACCGAAATAATTTCTTAAATGTTCAGATTATTTAAAATTAAATAAATAAAAATTAGCGGTTTAGTAGGTTTAGCATTTTAGGCTGCGAGAGAAAATAAAATTAGAAAATTCAATCTATGTTGGACTCAAAATTGTTTGAATGATGAATCTCTGGGGGTACTCATGAAATAGCTAATTACTCACGTAAAATGAAAAATTACGGTCTAATGTGTTAGATTGTACGTTAAATTGAAAGAAACACTTCCAATAACATGTGCTCCATTTTGTAGTAGGTATTGAATTACCAGGAAACTTGTAAAACAGGGCAGAGTATGTTTTATATTTAGTTAGGTAGTTAGTTAGTTAATTAGTTCGGTAGTTAGTTCGTTCATCTTATCAGAGACATTCAACATCTCAGGCTAATGTCTCTTAGTTTTAAACATAAGTTTAAACTGCATATTATATTTAATCTCTCTTTTCAGAAAGGGGCGATGTTACAGCTCACAGAATGGACGATGCATTTCTACTCAGATTTTTACGGGCAAGAAATTTCAAACTGGAAGCAGCATACCGATTAGTGAGTAACCTTTCATATTCATGGCCATATGAATTACTTAAATTATCAAAAAATCATTTTGAATTTTATTGATCAAAACCGGTTTCGACAAAGCTAACAATTGAAATGAGCTCAAGTAGAAACACTCACAGGAAACGACACTAACTCATGAGACAAAACATACCATTTTCAGTAACCTGTCTATCATATTTCATTTTTTTTTTTTTTTTTTTTTTTTTTTTTTTTTTTTTTTTTTTTTTTTTTTTTTTTTTTAAGAGTTTGACTTTAAGTTCTGTCTCAAATATTTCGTAGGTCTAATTCTCAAATCAGTTTTTAACTGCGACTTGTGATTTCCCTTCTCCTTTTAACAGGCTTTTTCCATGTGTTTCCCTCAGACTCTTTCTTTCAATTTTTTGTAACTCTCTTTCTGTGATCTCTGCTCTAGGTGTTAGTGGTCCAGCTTTATTAAAGCACCTACATATAAATAAATGTATACAATAACAACAACAACATGTTCACCAGTACCTTTGGTTGCCCTCGTTTTTCTTACACTGCATAATGTAATTGAATTGCTTCCAGTTTCAATCTCGACCAACTTGTACAATTTGACATTACATTTCCTCCCAGGGGGTTTTAACGAGGCGGCACTAATTGTCAAAATCGTTTAAAGGTAGGACTGTGGAATCGGAAAGTGAAAACACTCGGCGCGGGCGAAATCTTAATTCGCGTTTTGTCAATTATTTAATCGACACAATTGCTGGCCGTAGCACCTGCTGCCTCTGGCGTAAGCACGTATCTCGATTTCCGCATGGACCTCAGAAAATGTAGATTTATACGTAAACCAGGGCTCACGTGGAAATTGAGACGCCCCTACGTCAGGGGAGCGACGAATCGCTTCGCACGCCACCGCCCATTGTTAGACTCATTGTCAGTACAAATGGATCAATGATTTCGAAAATGGGCCATTGGGCCGCGTCAGAATTTTTACAAACTGAGTTTCCAACGGGAAATTATTCCCAACAGATACGGACGGATCAGCTCCTAGACACCTACGACTTACGGCTGGTTTTGCTGGGAAGAATATTTTTCTAGAGGACTCGATTCGTTGATTGTCTTGACCAAAAATTGTGTGAAAGTACATTTTTTCTCTATACTCGTATGTATACTTGAAATCTCTAATTGGTGCAATGGTTTCACACTTGGTATATCAACTACTAATATTGTCACTTTTGTCATTGGTCTGCTACATCCTGCGTCATAGATCACAGAGCACAGTTCTCACACTGTCAATGTATAAACACTGAGCTAAGATTTGTTAGGAAAAATTCCTAAAGAATTCATGGGAAATACTTAATTACACGAAAAGATTTCAGGGTTAAGTCTAAAAATTACCGATGATTTCGAAAAAAATGACTATTCATTGCAGCGGACAAAATCATAAGATCTGCCTCTCTTTTGGTAAAATCTATAATATATAGGAATTGAGTTCAGAATCATGACATACTAAGAAAACACATGCAAACATATTGGGTTACACGTTCTACTCTAAAAGCTCAAAAATTGATGGAGGTGTGTTTTGATTTGAATTTCTAGACCTAGAGAACAATAAGAACATGCGGAAAATACTGGAAAACGTTTTCATTTTATTTATTTTAAGGTATTCTGAATATCCTTTACCTTCAAAAACAGGCAATTCAACCTTTAGCTGCCGTTTACACTACAGCTGCTTCGAACTCAGAGATTTATTATGCGCCATGTGTCAGACAACCACATCAACCGAGTGAAACCAATATGACCGCAAACAAAAGAGTTTAAGCACGAGAACCATGAATGGTCGCTGTAAATCATTCATGCAATTGTGCAAAACGACGCTACTCCTTGCAGTGCTGCACCGAGACAAGTGAGCAATGACTAGTGAAAGTCCGAAAGTAAATGTACTCCAAAGTGAGTAATGAGCTGTGAAGTATGTGGATTGCCAAATTTGTAAAATTTCGAGAAATAATAAGAGTTAATAGAGAACAAAGCAAAGCCTTATGGTGTGCAGCTGCGTGTGGCTCGTAAAGCTTGCGAGCCTATGGAGCATGGCGAGAGAGAGATAATGGGGCACGATTCGCCTTCGTAAAATTGAGTAGGCAAAACGGGCTCTCGTGTGTCTGAATAGTGGTATTTTTTGATAGCACACATAATTCAATACAATATTCTGATTTCATTCAATGGCCTCTGGAGAGAGGCCTGGAGGAACGGTATAAAGGCCTTACATTTTATTGAAGAAACTCTGTTTCCCGGTTACACTCTCTCTTAATTTTTCCCTAAACTTTGATCGAAGTTTGTCCATGTAACAAGTTGTACAAAGTTGTACAACACGTCCTTGTAAAGTCTGCATTTTTGCATATTTGCACGTGTATGAAATACAAATTACAAAACGTATAAAATGCGTTTAATGAAAAAAAAAAACTTGTTTCATCATTTTATGGCTACCCAATATGCAAAGTCAAAAGCAACTTTTTGATGATTTAATGATTACTTTGAGAACTTTTGAGAATCTGAATGTTGATATTAAACTTAATTTTTGAAATGGTGAGGGTGGGATCAACATGGGATTTGGGATAGTCAGGAATTGTACTCATGGTGGCATCTCTGGATGCTACACTAGATAACTGATGGCCATTGGCTGATGACTGCTAGATCTGCAACGACTGATTGACAGCAAACACCAACTTACCGTCGAGGTAATTGCATGGCCAAGACAGACATTACCGCTCATTAGCCTCTGGACCGCAGCAGCTAGAATCTCCAACTTTGCTTCAACTCTAATGACTTGTATTTTCCTTTTCTCCTTACTTGCGGACAGAAATATACTCACCTCGGCTACTAATTGGCAAATTGTTGGATCCTGAGAGATACTCCCCTTTATCCTGAACAAATAGGAAAATGCAAAATACTCATAGTAAAATGACATGAATGGCATAACTAAAACATTCGAAATATGAAATGCATTGAACAAACAATGGTATATTAGAATGAAGGTATTTTGCAAAAGGTTTCGTCGAAGATCGTAGCCTCTGGAGAAATGCAGCCTTCTTGCCCCATATTCAGTGCAAGCTAGCGACACTCGATTCGTACACTGAAAAAGAAGATGGCAGAATTTACCATTCCTTTACGCTGTATTTCACACAGCGTCAATTTAGAATCAATTCTGCCAGAAGAAAGATAAACTTTACTATATACTGGTACAGGTAACCATTCTTCTGGCAGAATCGACCTGAAGATTGGTAGAATTTACCATTCATTCACGCTGTGTGTGATACAGCGTGAAGGAATGGTACATTATACCAATCTTTGTTTTTTCAGTGTGCCTAGTATCTCATTTCCTGAGAGCAGCATGCATCTAAAAAATGGAAGAATAAATAGGCCAATGAAAAAGAATCTTAGACTTTTAACTATTTATCAATACAATTGGAGCAGGATAGAATATTTACTGGTGGATATAGATGACTTAAGTGCGAAAGCACATATCTTCACTGCGGTGTTTCAAAATCTCTGCTCTTTTTTCATTTTTTAAAGAAAAATAAGCCAACTTTATAGCTTGAAATGTATACAGAATATTCCACGAACAGAGAGGCAAAATCAAGAAATTAGGTTTAACAAGTGTTCTAATGAAAAAATAATATCTGACGAGTCTGCAACATCACGAACGGAGGTACGTAATTTCGCATTTTGGTCATCGGTATGTATGTTACAAAAAGAAAAATTTTTTTCCTCAAAAGGTCATTCAACTTCATTTTAAACAAACTTTGAAAAATATTAGTCGTATTTAATCATGCTTTGCTTGATTTGTTTCAGTTTGTAAATTATTTCAATTTCCGAGAAAAAAATTCAGACTTCTACGCTAATGTGAATCCTTTAAATCTCTCATTCATTGGGGACGCCGATGTGCTTTCAGTTCTACCTTACCGAGAGCAAACAGGCAGAAGAATTATGATCTATAGGATGGGTGAGTATTTTTCAGTAGCAAAACGTGAATGATCGATTTTCGATGTATCCCCATTTGAAGCTATGGTGAAGAATCGATTATCAAGGTTTAGGTTGCGAACACTCAGTCTATCGATCCTTTTCCATAGTTTTAAATGGCAGATCAATCGATACATTGCAAAGCATGCCACGCCACTTTTATTATTATCAAGGTAAAATTAGTCATTTGCATATTTCGTAGACCTGCAAACACTTAATATGTGATTTCCTAGAGAAAGCTGTCCTTTTGGAGTGAAAAGTTTCCTTCTATGAAACCCAAAAATGTACATTGCTATGAAAGCTGAGGTAAATAATGCTAGACTATATCCAAAGCCAAAGTGAGAAACCACGTATTTCCATTGCGCTGTTTCAAAAATTCTGCTCTTATTTTATTTTATTGAAGGAAAAGAAGCAAAATTCTTATAGCTTGATAATACAAAATATTCTGCTGACAGAGAAGAGAAATAAAAAAAAGTATTAAGGAAATTACGTCGAATAGTTTCCCGAGGAATAAATGAAATATGACAGGAAGTCTACAACGTCATAATCGAAGATAAGTGGTTTTGCACTTTAACCATCGACATGCAAAAATAAACCCTTTCTGACAGGCAATTTTTATACTCGTTCGTTCAAGTCTCTACGGTGTACACGTTCAGAAATTCAAAAAAATATTCATAGCTTTCCTCGAAAATAAACATTACATCGAAGGAAATTTGGGAACTCTCGAATGCTCATACGGCGTTTTTCCTTAGCACGGCAGTATAAGGGAGTAACACTTGTTACTCTCAAATGTCCTTGAGTTCCCAAATTTCCTTCGATGTAATGTTTATTTTTGAGGAAAGCTATGAATATTTTTCTTTGAAATTTTCAGTAACTTCAGGTGAAATTGCAAACAAAATTATCAAAAAATTAGAAGAAAAATGTTTCGAAATTTTCCCGAAAATTTGTGATTTACCAAAAGAAATTTGGCAACGCCTGAAGGTTCATATAGTGTTTTTTCTTAGCACGGCAGTATAACTGTCCATTAGGAAATGTTGAATCCGAAAATTAAAGTTTCCACCTGTCGCCATGAGGATAGTGGAGGGTCTGTCTTTGTCTCTGATGCTCTAACATTACCTCCAAAACGCGCTGAGCCGCGTTGACTCATTTAATAGCCCGAAGAACTTAACCTAAAAATCAGTCGGTGAATTGGTTCTCTCGACCTTGCGAGGCCGCCGCCGCTATGACGCGTTCGGCTTTGAGCGTCTATTCAAAGCTAGACAGAAGAACTGCCGCGATAGCGAAGACAGCAGTAAGTGCATACTAGGATGAACCTCGAGACACATAAAGGCATGTGCTAATCATGGCTCATACAGGACGGCACTTACTGCTCTCTTCGCTATCACGGCAGAGAGGAGTGGACGCGGGACGAGTGAGAAAGAGAAGGGATGAGTCGAATGTTGAATGATTCTTTAAATGAGTATATGCAGAAGCGAGTGAGCGATAAAAGTGCCTCGACAGGTTCTGGACGTAATTACCTAACACCGTTAAACATTGTGCTGCCTGTGTTGCCATAAGCACAGGCGGGTCCGATACTTCCAGATAGAAATCGCGGTGAAATTACTCGTCCAAGTATCAATCAATTTTTATTTTGCAGTTTTAGTTGTAACTTGAAAGAGCATAGTGCTCACACTTTCATGTGCGCAAAACGGTCAAAGCAAAAAACACGCATAGAGAAAAAAAAAGGAGGTGTTGGATCTTGAGGTTTGTTTACCCTGTGACGTAGGCCAGTACAACCTGGCCAGCGAAATCCGGAATTCGAAGTATGAAAAAAGTACCATAATGTCCGATTTTTTTGCTTTAATCAACTCATCCCTGGTATAAATTGGCTCCACAGCTCCGCTTTACACAAAGCGGAGCGGCGACGCACTGGCGCCTACAAACCTAACAGGGATACTTCGCGCATTGCGCAACGCGTGAAGTATCCCTGTTAGGTTTGTACGCGCCAATGCGTGTTTCGCGCTGGCTGCTCGCCTGCCACGGCGCTTGAAGCAACTATTTCACACCGGGGGTATTGCACAGCATCATACGAAACTGAAGGCGCTCTAATATATTAGTAAAATGGTAGGCATCCATCAAAAGTACGGAGCTTTCCTCGCAAAATAAATCAAAATACCACGGCCCAAAAAGAGAGCAGTATTCCAAAAACTCACTAAGTCCTAGCATCCGTAATCAGTAACGCTTAGCGTACACTTTATCGCCTGGCTGTTGCTTAATCGCCATCGGCTATAAAATGCTATAAGAAATTGTGTAGCCGGCTATAGAAACTATTGGAAATCTTCCAGCCGGCCGTAGGTCTATGGTATTTTGGAACACAGATTCTACTGCCAATTTTTACCAGGGATGATATAATTTCAAACGCTTTATGTAGAATGCATTTTTTTCCATAAACTACACCATTTCCAAGAAAATCGATAATAAAAGTCGCCGTGCCGACCTACGCCATCAAAAAAATTCCAAGATGCCCGAAATGCAAACACCTCCTTTTTTCCTGTCCATGTCCTTTTTTCCACCGCAGGGAGGAGCGCGTCAAATTGCGATTTGTACAAAGAGGTTGCCGCTATGTAAGTAAATGTTTATCCCACTAATAATGTCAGGCATGCAGGTATGTCTCATTGAAGGCATGTCACTAAGACTTCATTGAGACATAGCTCATGTCACAACGTCAATGGAGGTATGTGGGAGGTATTATCAAGATTGAGAACCTTTATAAAAAATAAAAATACCTCGGGAATAAAATAGGTAAACAATGTCTCAATGTTAAAGTAGTTGCACACGATTTGAAAAATCAGTCAATAAGCAGTATCTTCTACCGATGAGAAGCGTAAAAAAACAAGTTGCCTCGATTTGCGATGTGCGGATTTCTTTTCATACCTTAAGTTTTTCTTAGAGAAACCAAAGAACCCAACGAACCAATGAGCCAATGAATTCTACCAGAGTATTCCGGAATTATTTTTAGAAAAAATTGTTTTGCATTCTCTTTTTTTTTTAAAAAAAAAAACCAGAAAAAAAATTATCAGAGGTTTTGAAAATCATCGAGATGTACGTTATCGAGCCACCGAGTTATACGTTATGCGATCATCACCAAAAAGAACAACAAGAAAATTAATTATCAGATTCTTCATTCATTCAAGGCCATGGGAAATTAGAAAGCTGAAAAAGATATTTTTCCTTTAAAATTCATTTTAAAACAGCACAAGTATTCTCGAGACCAACATTTTAGAGAACATGCGCTAAGAAGTATGTAAATAGAATGCTTACATTTAGATAATTTGTATTCACAAAATAATTTCACGTAGAAAATGGAAGTATAAAAGCAAATCCGGTCCCTCGAACCGCACTGGAACATTAATTTTTGGCAAAACCCGGGGAACACATGTCTAAAGAACATAGAGTGTATGCCGCCTTATGTCAAATGCTCAACGTATGAAAAAATGTGCAGTGTGCTGTAGCTCAGAAAATACTAAACCACATCCCTGTTCGTTAACACGAGTCCATAGTTGACAACTTTGTTGACACTCCTCAATCATGAGCGTTGGTATTACTCTTCCATGGTCAAAAAATCAAATAACATCATCGCAAAATTTGGCAATTGTGCTAATGGCGCGCGTCGTTGGGACGCTGCGCTGAGCTTGGTCCAGCGTAAAGCTGTTCATTGACCTTGGTGGTAGTGACCTATACCAGCAAAGAAACTAAGAGTGTCCAACTTCGAGCCTAGTCCTAGAATAATAGTAATGCTTATTGATTTGTCTATATCCGCCTAATCAGTTGCATTTATACACGCTTGAATATGTACATATTAAATTGACTGTCCCTTTTCCTCTCTTTAGCTGCAGTTTTGACATGAATCACTCAAAATAAGTAGATATTTGTAAAAAGGGAGTTAGTACTAATTTTGTTCATCAGCTATGTAGGTTCTCAAAGATCAAAAACCTCCTTCGGCAAATTCACTCGATAAATCCATAGGAATTTATCGGTACTATCGGCACTTAAATCTCTGGATAGCGCAAGACGTGTAACCACATCAGGCCAATTTGAAAACTAACTTGGTCGGCAAAATTGAATTGAATTTGGCACTATCTAGGGATTTATTCACGTGGTGGATAATTATCGCACACAAGTCATACATAAACCATCACTCAGAGTTGCATATATCAGCTTACACTGGAAAAAAAGGTGCATTTGCCTCAAGCAATTTGCCTCCAAGAATTTTCCATGTTGATTTACGCTAAATTTTTCTTGATACAAGAACAATAATGCTTGGGTTAAGCAAAAAAGTAGTTCAAATTAAGCAGCAAAATTCTTGATTTAAGAAAAAATACTCTTTTTTATCGGTGTATGGTAGCTGAACAGATTCCATTCTATACTATCCTCATTTCCGTACGTCACCTTTATGTATAATCTACACAGGTTAAGGTAAAAAATTGCATCCGAGACGATCATTTAATTTTATAATTTGATTTTCTGATTTGTTCACAGGTAAATGGAACACAAAGGAATACGATATAGATGAAATTCTGAAGGCATCATTAGCTATCTTAGAATTAGGTGTTCTCGAGCCAAGAGCCCAGATCTTGGGTGGCGTTGTTATATTCGACTTAGCAAATCTAACTCTTCAACAGGCGTGGCAAATCACACCCAATGTTGCTAGTAAAGTTATTGAATTGATGGTGGTACGTACTTATTACATTAAATTGAGATATATTAATTTACTTGTGGCAGGTGTCAGGATGGTTATGCTAGAAATATTTCTTGGCACGTTCCCTTGAAAGTTTGATTGAAAGGTGCAAGTAAGAAATAGTTCAGTTACGATCGTGACAAAAAAACGAGAGTCGTCTTAAAACTACGCATCTCTTCATACATACATAAAGTCGCTTTTATAGCGCCGCCTCGCGCTCTGCGACGCCCAATCGCCATTGCCCCCTATCCTCTCAGAGAGCATCTCTTCATTATTGCCTTAAAACTACTGCATAAAGTGGAACTCTGTAAAAAGGATTGTATTGAAAATACACTTGCAGCTTTAAAAACTGAAGGTACTTAAACTTGTATTTTATTTTATTTTTTTTTGGCAAATATCAACTTAACGCAGGAATTTTGAGACGCAACAAAAATATACTTAGACTCAGCTTCTAATCATACTAGCTGTTCCGGGCTCGCTACAGAGAACCGTCACAGTCAAGGGACTATTGCCCCCTGGACCCTCTGCTTTTGATATGCACTTGAAATCTGAACGGCTGAAAACGCGTCGGTGACCTTTAACACCTTATTTGTCCAGAGTTCTCCCTTCTTTACCCTTTCAAGAGTCCTCAAAAGAGCTCCCAAGTCAATATTTGGAGTTCTTGAGCAACCACATAATGCAAAATTGATTGCACTAAGATAGGGTATGGTTATCTCATTTTCTTTTCTCTCACCTTTAGGGCCCCTTGCCTGACTCCTTCACATATTTCTTCGTGTAGGTGTGTACGTGATCCGACCCCATAGGTATGACATTTCAAAGATTCAGCGTTAGCCTTTCTTTAGATCTCGTCACAGGATCAAAAAACGCTTAGAATATGGCAAAGACTCTGATGTTAGTTGCGCTCGCTGATTACTCTATTTGCATGTGCATTACGCCACTAAGCCGTCGTTTATCACCTTCGATCGATGCCATTTCGAAGTCCCATTAACGCGCCACGGGAGCGACAATGTTCACCGAAGCAAAACCAGCGTTATCGTATTGCACAATGAAGTACCGTTTCCCCTTGTGCGAAGAACAAGCACTCTAGTGCAATGCAAAGCCGCACGAAATCATGTATTTCCTGTGATTTCCATGGGTGCAGAAAGTTTTTAGGCCTACACTGGTAAGAAAAACCTCTTGGACCAATGCCGCGGTGCATTGACTTAAGAGTGCAGTTTCTTGTCGCCGGAAGAGTCTTGAACTCTTGTTTCAAGCGGATTTTGCATTGATTCAATTCAAAATTCGCTTGAACAAGAGTCCAGACTCTTAAATCCGGCGAAAAGAAACTGCACTCTTGAACCAAGAGGTTTTTTTTTTTACCAGTGTACGCTAATTCAAGCAACCAGGGGTTCAGCCTACGCACTGCGGTATTTCGTGTTCGCAGTGATTTACTACAATTTAAAGACATTTCTAAAAAATGTAACGGGTTTTCAATTCCATTTTTCAAAAATTCTACGCTTTTGTTGACAATCTTAAAAATTCAACACGTTAGCAACAATTTTCTAAAAAATTCAACGATTATCACTAGTTTTGTAAAAAGCAATGCATTCACACTAATTTTTACAAAATACCAACATTCTTGTCATGAGTTTTTGTAAAAATCAGTGCGTTGAGTGTTCACTCTATGGAATAAAACCAATTTTTTGATTCGTGTAAACGAAATGCTCATATAACTAAATATATTTCCTCAGTTTGTATAATCTCATGGGTTCGGTTACACGAACTAAAAGTTGAATTTGACGACGCTGATAGTTTGGTTCGCCCCATTCAACCTTTCTACCCATGTGTTAAAGTCTCTGGGTCAGCCGAACAGAGTTCACGTTCTTCTTCATTTCGTGGATATGAAATTTTACCTACTTGGTAGCTGAAATAGTTGTATCACGCTTCTTGCCCAATCCGACCGTCTACTTAGCGTTTAAATCTCCGAGTCAGTGGAAAAAAGAACGACGACATTGACGTGGATATGCGAGAAAGTTTTGTTGCTTCATCATTGTGACCGGATCTGTGAAAAGAGATCTCATTCTCTGGAAGGAAATTTCTTACACTTTTAACTTCGAATCTAAAGCGATCGCAGGAAGCGCCTGCAAAACTGCATGGATACTTCAAGCATTGCGCCATCTCCATCTCTCCAAGCCCTCCGCTCTTAACTCACGAATTGGGAAGCGCCTGCAGAACCGCAGGGATACTTCAAGCATTGCGCGTCATCCCGAGTCTTCCGCTCTAAACTCGCGAATGAGTCCGTGATGCATACACTGTTTGAAAATGCATAGGGCAGTGCAGTACGCTCACAAAACTGTTCGAGGCGTAAAATTTGATCAAAACGCAATAAATATTATATCGTCCATTACTTAAGGTCGTGGCTAACGCAATTCGCGAACGACCCGGCTATCGATCGTCGGTTCGTGAACATTCTGCACCCCTGGTGACATCACGGTTTGATGTAGGGAGTCCGATATTTCAGGCCGAAAAAAAGCGTTTCCTAACAGATCGGTGGATGGTTTCCGCCCACAAACAGGGCTGATGTGCCAGGGAAAGGAGCTTTCTGAATTGGGAGCAGTGGCAAGGCTTGAAGGATCGATCATCGATATTTCCTCATTTAAACCTATGGTAAAGAATCGATTATTAAGGTGTTCGATGCGAACTCCCTGCAGATTATCGTTCTTTTCCCATAGGTCATTAAATTGCAGATAAATCGATGTATCGAAAAACACGCCACACCACTGATTTGTAGATGTCGTCAAATTTCTCTTCCTGAACTTAGGATTTTCTTATAACAATTTTCGTATATTTTCTTCTAAATTTTACAGAGAGACTCGTGCACAATTTAATCTGAAATGCCTGAAATTTTAAAGAAAAACACCATTAACTTCTCCTGAGGATTAACATTTTTGTTGAGGAAATTTGACCTCATCCGACTGTTCATGTGACGTTTTTTATCTTAGCACGACAGAAGTACAGAGGTGTATCCCACGTTGTGATGGGGGGGGGGGGGATAAAAAGAAGACATAATGGAGTAGTTGTTGAATAGGGGGTACAGAGAGGGGGAGAGTCTGCAAATAATGAGATCATTCTGTTGCATTATGCATATGTTTGTTTACTAGCCCACAGCGAGCGCAGCAAGGCACAAACGTGAAAATGTTGATGCAATATTCACGTATATTACATCTGCACCGCTGTTTTTGCACACCGTTGCCGTTTTTCCGTCTACTTCGAGTCAGACTTTACGTCGAGCCAGAAATTTTAGTTCCTAATTGAATCGACGCATGCGAAAACGTCCGATGTCCAGGACAGTGTTTCAGAATTTGAGTGGACGATTTCGTTGTAACTTAACGACACAAGATGGTTTAAGACGTTACACCGAAAAAAAGTGAAGTTGATTTAACAATCTGGATGTAAAAAAAGTGTGCAAGAACTTACAAAATGGTGAATTACCCGCTACAATAGTTACTTTAACAATGCCAAGATATAAAAGTAACCGCTACAGCGGGTAATTTAGCATTTTATAAGTTCTCGCACATTTTTTTCTACATCCAGAATATTAAATCAACTTCACTTTCTTTTCGGTGTAGGAATGTGGAACAATTTTATAAATAATCCCCTAAGTGTAATTAAATGTTTACAAAAGAGATCGATCCTATTCAGTGTCGCGGGACAAAAGAAACCCATCGCAATTATGAAACCCTGTAATGGACAACGGACGTTTTTGCATACTTTGATTCAATAACAGAATGAAGCCCAAATATATCTCGGTTACTTACTGCCGTCAACCAAGTTAATGTGTGTATTTTTTGTTTCATGGACGGCGAGCAGACTAGTTTCCCGATCAAAACGTTTGCGATCCACATCATCAACGAGTCGTGGGTGTTCGACGTGGTGTTCTCGGTGTTCAAGCCTCTCCTGGGGCGAAGGTATCAGGAGATGGTAAGCGGCAAGGTATATTCAGATTATTTTTTAAGTTTGCTGCAAGTCTGCAACCGGGGAATCACTGCACGGGCTCACCGAGTTTACAACTCTTCCACAGCTGTCCTCCTCCAGTAACCGTATAACGTCACCGTCATTGTATCCTCCATTTCATTCAAACTTAGCTCTCATGTGGGAAATATATCGTCATCTTTCAGCCAAAGTATCACAGGCGCCATGCGACGTTTCAAAATTTCCGCCGCCATTTTTTTTTTTTTTTTTACAGAGATATTTTAGGTTGAATCTGTTTGAAAATTGCACTGAAATTTATCTGCAGCACAAATAAAATGCAGTGAAATGTTCAAACAGATTCAACCAACAACATCTCTGTAAAAAAAATGGCGGCGGAAATTTTGAAACGTCGCATGGCGCTTGTGATACTTTGAACAAAGATGACGCCATTTCGTCGCTTCTCTGACATAACGGCGCACAGTGGGTCGAGTCAATAGGAGAGGTTGGACAAAATTTGGAAACTTTAAAAGCTTACAGCTCCGTTTATACACAATTTTGAGGTTCTACAAGTGGTTCCAATCGTTTTCTCGTGACATTTTCTTCTAGAAACACTACTTGAGCTTTAAAATATGACGAAATTAACATCAAAACTTGCAGTTTTAGTCAAACGTTTCATGTCCGACCTCTCTAATTGACTCGAGCCACTGTGCGGCGTATCTCAATTTCCACGTGAGCCCTGTTATCCGCTTAGCTCTATGCGATCCGCGGCTCATGCAGAAATCTAGATACGTCTTCACTCCAGAGGAGCCACAATTTCATTCATTATAACATAGGAAAAACAGAACTGTTGGAGTCACCGACCTTCCATTGTAGTAAAAGCTGCCCATCAATTATAATCCATTGAAATTAAACGGAACACTCAGAGTTTGAAGATGAAAACGCTTGAGGCCTAAAGGGTCACGACATTTTGGAATTTTCAACCAACAATAACTGCTTTCAATTTTGCATATGAAGCGCAATAAATGGTTCGTAAACGAAAAGCTCCATCGCATGAAAATTGTTAGGTGACATGTTTGAAAAAAACGATTTCAGCAGGTCGTTTTTGGTATTCTCAAGAGATACTCTTGGACGGAAATACATAGTCAAAGGTAGACAAATGAGGATGTGAGTACTATTAACTACTTGTGGAATATGAGGAATACCTTTTTTTTTATATGTTTTTATCATTACCCGTTTTTATAGTATCTTTGAATTAGAATTATGTTCGTCTTCATGCATGCCCGCCCATCAACATTAAATTTGCCACTACATCAGTGGCGTGGAGTGCTTTATGATGTATTGATTGATCTGCCATTTAACCCCAAAGAAAAAGATTGACAAACAGGGTGCTCGCTAGGAACATTTTAATCATCGATTATTTACCATAGCCTCAAATGGGGATTTATCGATAATCGAACTTTTACATCTCGCCACTGCACTCCATACAAAAGAGTATTGTTTACCCGAGCGTAACATTTTATCAGACCATACATCGTCTTTACATGATGGTTCTACTCACCGCACTTTTTCATTCATTTCAAACATTTTAAAACTTTTATTGCCATCAGGAATGCTCGATAAACAAGCAGGAGAATAACCAAAGGTCGTCCTTCTCCAATCATTTGTAATCACGAGGTTCAAAAATCGTCAATACAACAAAAACTAATACAGTAACAGCATCGCACCACAGTTCCATTGATCAAAATCATTCATTTGCTTCTGCAGCTTAGAATTAATTCACATACATTTTAAATACAATATCACTGCATTTTTTTTAATGAACGTTTACCTCTGAACTAGAATAATCTTATTTTTAGAGACTTCATCATGCAGTGCCTCCCGTCTTAGTTCTGTTTGCATTGTATTTTAAGTGAATGAAAATGAAGCCTACTTTATACTTACTGCTGTAGGCATAATGATTGGGATATACAATGTTATGCGCCTTTATTTGAGATAATAGCATTGCAAGTATATAATTAAATTGGCTGTGTAGCTGCAAGTAGTTAATTGCTTTTTCTGAACGTAGAATTACGTGCACCCCTATATGACTTGGAAGTGCATTGCGATTCAAAAGAAAGACGTATAGCTTTAAAGTTTGAAGTAGAAATAGTAGACACAATAGAATTTTTGATTTGGTTTGATTGCTTGTCTCTGATGTGATGCACGTTCTAACAAGTTTATTTTGCGAAGTGATACTGATATCAAAAGGCGACGGATTGAATCTTTTTAACCTCGATAAAGACATCATAAAATTGATTTTCAGTGGCTTGTGCATTAAAAATTATTTCCCAAAATTCTGATACGAAACGAGCCGTTTTGAAGCGGTCTGCCAGCTCTGCCTCGCATCTGAGATGTAGAATGTTTTGCGTCTCGATCAATTGAAGGAACTTTTAAGATTTTAGATTATTCTTTGCCTGCATTTGTCACGCAGTCCTACCAAATAAATTCAATTTCCAGGCTACTGTGCGACACGTCACTTCAGAAAAATAGCTTAGCTTGAAAAATGTTGGATTATATCTGTGGAAAAAAACCTCCTCAGAAACCTCAACCTTGAGTTTTTAACCCTAAAAAAATTCACCAAAAGAAAAACACGAATCAATTAGCTTCTTTCAATATTATTTCAGAATTAAAATTATGCTTCATTTAACTTACTGCCTACCGCGTGTCAAGAATTAGAGTAACAAATATCTTGCACAATTCCCTCGCTGTTTCACTTTTCATGGCCCTTTGATCCGTACCGGATCTTTGAACTTCTATTTTTCCTTTTTTTTCACAGTTCATTCCACCATTTTACTGAGCTTATTTTCATGATTTCTGCGGATGTCGACAGGTGATAATCTCTAAAAGATGACAGTTCATGAGATTTTTTGTTTATTTAGGCCAGGTCTCTTTCCGAGTAAACTGACTGCCGGCCACCGAGAAAACCTGCCCGAATACGCGGTAAATGTAAAAAGGCGTGTTGCAATTTACGCAGATTGCGCGCCAAGGAGTGGATCTCAGACTTTTTCTATGTGCCCAATGTAATTTTTGAACTAACAAAATTGTAGAAAGTTTATTCGCATTCTTGCTGCAACAGACCAATTTTCCAATTCAAACAATATAAATGTTAATTTTTTGTCACAGTTCGTTCGAAAGATCTACCGGGCGAATTTTCATTATTTTGGCTGCTATCGGTAGGAGATAGTTCAAATATGAGCCCGCTCCATTTAGATTAACCACCGAGGGCCCGCGACAGGAAGTGCTTAGCGCCCCCGTTGATTGGACTGCGTAGCGGTCAGGGGGCGTAAACCCCAGTAATCTTCGCGGGTATTTAATACGATATCTGATTCGTCCATTTGTATGCAAGAGAAATTTAATCAATAATGCAATACATCCAGATCCGCAAAAAAAGAAAGATCAAAGAAGAATACTAAATAAAAGAAATAACCGGAACTGTATGCAATAACTGCACATTTTTTCTACTCACTAAAATACACGTTTGACAATCTACATGCTCGCCCTAAATAAACAGGCGCTGCTCATAGGGTCAACTAGAATGCATCGTTTTGCCGCGGTCAGAAAGAGAAGGACGGCTTCTTTGGAGCCGTGTTCGTGTGACAGAGAGGTGAAAGATCAGAGCTTCCGGGTTGATGTTGTCTTTCAATGTATTCACTAATTAAACCGACGAGAATACAAAAGGACCCTACCTTAACCTAAAACACATAGCTGAAATGTTCTTTTATAACTTATTCGTTTCTTAGTAACGGTGCATTGATCTTTTCATCTATTGCCGATGCACGGAGGTTTCATAACCTTTCAAGTTCCTTACACAGATAAAAGTAATAGTGAATAATGAAACTCGCCGATATTAGTAGGTGTTCTAACGAGACTGAAATTGATCAGGTAGTCCTTGGAATTCCAAGTTACTCTTACACCGTACTAGTCTGATTTTTTTTTATTTTAATCATACTTATTCACATTATATTATTTTAAAGTAAGCATAATGTGAGTCATGGAATAATAAATATTTGGATACCTGTCATATATTTCAAAAATTCGCCATGCTAGTCATTTTTGTTCCAACCGTTTGTCCTCAGAAATGTCTCTCAGATATGTATTAAGTGACATTAGTTATAGTACTACATTTTGTTTGATAGTTTGTTTGTCCCGTTTTGTTTGAAAGTCTCACAGAGTTTTCTTTCTGACGAAGAATTTGTTTTCTGAATTTTTCAAGAGAACCTCTTCTGTTTTTCTATGTTAAAAAAATAAATTATCCTGTATAATATAGCAACACCTGACGTCACAAGAATCCCTCTCCAAGAAACGCCAACTAAAAATTTAGCCTCTTCATTGAATGAAATCGTGGAATGTATTTATTTTAAAAAAATATTTTACAAGCTCATGGGTTTTTTAATCCAATTGAATACTCTCAGAGAATAATTTGTTATTCCTTTTGGCATCTTACTCATGTCGTTACTTTAGGTGCTTCCATCAGGGTGTCGTTAGATTTTCATGTAAGGTTTTCACTATAAAAAAGTGAAAGGTTTAGATCATTACGATTTGTGAGAAGCTCGTTTAGTATGTCCGATATTTTTCTGGCTCTTAAATGAGGTTAAAACGCACCGATTTAATTATTTTTGAAATCGCAATGAGAAGCAAAAATTCTAGATCATGATTGAAACACTCACATAAGCATCCATGGTTTTCTTCACATAACACCCTTAATTCCGAGGGTTTAATTAGAACACCAAATTTATGTCATGGACTTCAATCGCGCAAACTTGATTGCAAGTGCAAGCGAAATTAAGTAAAATTTCAGCATGGTGCGCATTTTTCCGCAATATCGGTAGACTAATACAGCTTTTACAAAATCACTGAGTTCAGCTAGAATTTTTGAGTTCACCTTGCTTCAGCAGAGGACGTACTAAATTATCAAACTGTGTTTCAAACTGAACGCGTGCGTTTGATAACACAAGGTGTGCCTTGGATTCATCCCGCATGTTTTGAATTCCGATGAAAAATAAACCAAATGTACACCCTCGATTCTGCACTAAGCCATGTTTGACTCGTTACCAGCACCAGTGTTTCTGGTCTATATTGGAATGTGCGTTTGTTTGTTTTACCTGTGTTCTTGTTAGCGCATATCAAATTTTAAATCATAATTTGTGACGTGTGTACGCTTTATCTTAAAATCGTTTTTGTACTAAGTTGAATGGGCCAGTAGTCAGAGAAAGAATGAGACAGACAGTGCAGCAAATTGTTTTTCCTCATCAACATTGAAAGTATACGGTGGAAGCATCTAAAATTATCTCATGTTTAGAGATCAGCTTTTCATTGACAAAAACTTCCAGTGCTTGTTAAAAACTTTCACTACTTTGAGTGTACTGTTTGTCGAATCGGTAACTAAACTAATTTCCCGTTCTTTACGATAGAATTACTTTCTCAGTGGAATGAATTTTTCTTTTAAAAGTGCACGAATATCATGCATCACAGCAAGGAGGAAATTTTCTTCGAATCCAGCGTTACTTCTTTGTCAAAGGATAGCTGCCTCTTTCTGACTGTCGATTGACTTTCATTGATTTCTGTTTTTTCATGAGCGAGAAGTTTAAACTAACTGATTCTAACGTAAACTAATGAGCAGTAAAGTTAAACTAATCCTTTGATTTTCGGTGTTTGTTCAACGCGCTGTGAGTTTAATTTAGATTAGGAACATATTTCACGATGCTTAAATTTTCATCTTGCCTAGTACGGTCCAAAACTCGAATCACAGGGTAATAGACAAAAATTCTAGTAATATTATCGCTAACTTTTTATTTTCCGCCCTTTCAGTTATTCTTCCACGGCACGGATATGAAGTCCTTACACAAACACATCAATCCTAAATACCTGCCCGAGGTCTATGGTGGCATTCGACCAGAATATTCCTACAAAGACTGGTTCCGAAATCTCAGTAGAGATCCCGCAATCGTTAAGGGTAAGTAAGGCATAATCATAAACGTTTTTACGAGATTACCAATTGAACGTATTCATGCCAAAAGGAACTATGTCTCACGCATACCCTATGCATATAGTTCCTTTTAGCATGAATACGTCCAATTGGACCTAACTGCCAATCTGGTATGGTCATTTTAATAGGATGATGGGAAAAGGCTGCCAAAGAAGATGCTTGATTGGGCTCCCCCTGTGAGGAAGGAAACGCCTGGTGAAAGGATGGCGACAGGCAATTGACATGAACTTAGGAAATGCCAATTTTGTAAAGGGTTTTGGGAAGATAGGGGGATGTGGCAGTTAGGCATCGCAGAACGCCAAAGAACACTGTGAAAGCGACTTTTATGTATTTACTAATGGGATATTATTTCTTTACTTGACTTCGACTTTCTAACCTGGTTTTAATTGAATCATTTGATATATTTCTTTCCTGTCTCTCCTTGTTTGCTGAAAAAATTTGCAGGTAAGGGAATATTTCATTTATCATGTCTACTCAAATCAACAATTGAATCAGTGAGAACGAAAACACACCAACTCGAACAAATGAAAATAATCAAGACACACACATAACTGCATATTAGATGAAGAATTTAGTCAAAGAAAAAGGTTTTCGTGCCTAAAAGCAAAAGTACTTAAGGACACTTTAAGTGTCCAAGTTGAAGAACAGATACGGTAACTTCAATGACTCGTATGAAAATTGTCTGTCCTTTGCGAAAAGTGAGTATTTTCGAGTTACCGAGTTGGTGAGTTTTCGTTCTCACTGATTCATTTATTCATTGTTTTTAATCAGTCTTGCCTGACACTCCTCTTCCTCTTTACCTGTCTTAGATTACTTTCTTACGTACATGTCTTCTTTGCTTTTTTCTGGATTCATACTATATGTTTAATCCAAATTAAATGTGATTGTTTGTCAACTGTTTCAGAAATGAGTAGTCTAGGGTACACAGACCTTGATACCAACGAAGAAATAGAAAAAGACATCAAATTACGTGAAGAAGCAGTAACAGCGTAAAGTTGTGACTCCTTCATAAAGCGCGTAGCTGCAACTTTTCCTCAGACTCGCCGCAACTTTATCATCTTCACGTTACGTTATTTTTGTGAATTCTAACTTAATTTTGGAGGAATCCGAAGTTCACGAAGTTACAAATCCTATTTTACGATAAAAAATTGTTCCTTGATCGATATTTGGTTTACTCGAGAAGTCTATAAAATGGTCGTATAGCTTTGCATTTCCTAAAACTCTGTCAGTTTCTGAAATGAAGCGCTTCAAAAATACATAAATTCATTCCTTGATAACCCAAAAATAAAAAAATAATTACCTCGGACCCACCTACTTAACTTTGGAATACTTTGAGTGAGCTCTAATGTAGGAATATTCAGTTGCAAGACTGGTTTACTTTCCATGTAATTTAATGGGTAGAGTCACGAATGGAGCTAGATTCTTTTTCTCATAGAGAAAGAGAGAGGAAACTCCTTCCGGCCAGTGGCGTGGCGTGAATTGCGATGTATCGATTGTTATGCCATTTAAACATATGGTAAAGAATCGATTATTAAGGTGTTCGCTGCGAACACCCTGTTTAGCGATCCTTCTCTATAGGTTCAAATGGCATAATAATCGATACATCGCATTTCACGCTCCTGGCTTATCCCAACCGCGGGTAGCAATCTTCGTGATACAGTGCCTTTGCTACCCCTGCATTCTAACAATTAATAAGTCGTACCTATGCGAGCTGAGTCGTTTAAAATCACCGTACGCTGCCCCCCTTTTAAGCAATGAATATCCTAGAGGTTGTTATATGTCACCACTTTAAACCCTGCAGTGTAGGCAAGCAGATACAAGTATACTCCTTGTGCTGCCCCTGCAAAGTCACGGGCACGCAACAAGGGTCACAAATAGCTGACAGATGGAATGAAAATAAATCTCTCTTTGTTCCCCCTCTTAAACTTTTCGGAGGGTGGCAACCCCTCTCTTCTACGTGAAAAAGTACTAATTTCTTATGGGTTTGATGTCCTGTCTTCGACACATCGATCAGCCCGTGTGATAAAGCATAACGCAAGGTGCGTGTTTTGTTGATTTTAATAGTGATTTTCTAATTTAAGTTACGTTTAAAGTAAAATTAAACTGTAGAGTTTATCATGATTATCGTTTATTTTTGCGGTTTTAATACTATATTTTGGTAGGCACCTGTTTTTAAAAGCCCCGTTTGCATTTTAACAGGCAAGCGCTACTGAAGTGTACCTTTTTAGAAGTGAGTAAATTTTCTCTTTTATATGTTTACTCTCATCCACGTTTCTGACAATCTTTCAAAGAATTAAATTGGAAGCTCTGATCAGTATGGTGTATCCCAGAGATACCAACTGAATCGTTAGTGCCTAGGTTACGAAATACTGAGGAAAATTTCTCATGCTCCTGGAGCGTTTTTGTACATTGTATTTGTCTAAGTGTTGTAATTTGAATTGACAAAAAAAGCTTTTATTTTGACTCGGAATAAATTGAGTCAATTTCAAAACTTGCTCTTGTTTTTTTCATTTCATCTTTTCAATCCCAAATGTGCTGAAATCTAGTTCCGAAAAAATGGGAATATTTCACTCGATCATAGATATGTAAGTACTTGTAGTCTTATATGGATCACTAATGATGTTACTGAGGGAAATGTAAGTTTTCTAAATGTCTTGAGGGACCGAGAAATATTGACTTTGCTTTTACATATTCTTTAGTAGAGAGTAGGCCAAGATAATTTCATCGAAAAAAAAAAAAAAATACAAATGATTTGAAGACATATTTCACCAGTTATGCTTTTAAAATATAAGTTCTCAGAGACATGAGGGTTCCAGGAAATCTCTGCCTGAATATAGGGTTCAGGCTAAAAAGCCGTCATCTGGTGTATAGTCATAGTCTAGTCGCAACGGACGGTGAATTGTTCAAACTATGTATCTCTGATTGTGATGTTGCAAACTTCCTGCTTTACTTTTTCTCTGTGAGAAATTATTCCATACCATTGCTCAAAAACTACTATGATTTTTTTTTCCTGTGTGAAGAATATTCTGAGAACTTTTCAAGTGATTCTATGGAGTCGTCCTCCATCAAAAAATAACACAGAGGGACTTAAAGACACGGCAATTAAGTTACGTGGTATGAGATTTTAACTGCCAATAAATGCTCGTATTTTTGTACACGCATCGACGACAGCTAAATTATGATGGCTATTATTTGTCGAGTCCGCCAGTGTATCACCATATAAGTGTCCGTCACATGTACTGAAACTTTTTACTGGTATGGAATTCATTTTCATAAGGTCAATGTACAAAAAGCAAATAACTAGAACTTGAAAATCCTAAAGCTAAGCACATAAGGCTGTAGAAGGATCTTCACTAAAAATTGTGGGAGGTTTCTAATCACAACTGACAACCTTCAACGCTTAAAAAAAACCATGCTACTGCTGGTGATTTAGTACTTATTTGTCGTTATCTGCCTTGGGAGAGACCTTTGACTCACTTTTTAAACAACAGTATTTGAACTTTATGCTGTTCAACGAGTCATTTGAGCGCAAGCGAGGCGCTTTTTTTGGCGCAATGTGCAATTTTCGTGATATCTCTGAGCGTTCTAAGTGCACTCGTGAAAGTGCACAGTATAAGCTTTGGTGGACTCCCAGGGAATAATAATGCAAGATATTTTGTTGTTTGAGCAGACAAATTTGATAAGAGCTTTTGACGTGCTTCCACAGTGCTGTTTGCCAAAATAAAATGGTTGAATACTTCAGTTTTTTTCTGCTACATGATGATATCATTTGAATACCTGGAAAAGATAAAAAGTTCGAAGAGGGAATCTTCAAAAAGGAACTTGAACAAAATAAGTAAAACGATCAATTTTAGTACCCTCTGTCTAAAGAGTCTCTTGAGGTGATGTTTTCATCCTTAATATCTAAAAAATTATTTCAAAATCCGTCAAAAAATGTGTCAGGGCCTTTTTTTTTTTAAAAAAAAAGGTAACTGACTAATGTTTCCCTTGCGAAACTGAAAATAAAGGGATGTGTTTCAGGACATATTAACCATTTTACACAGATTATAAAGTTCATTAAATTAAATTAAACAAAAAATAATTAAACGTTAATTATTAAAAAATTAAAGTAACCAATCAAGTAAACTAAATCGTAAAAATTAATTATAGGTACAGATATACATATTATACCTTATCACTGCAAAAATAAGCGTTTCTGACAGATCTATGCGCTCAATATCAATCAGTAGGTGCAAATTGTCCTAAAGAAACTAAAATGCCTAGGAGACTGTTGACTTAAATATGCCGATAGTCGTTGTTTTGAAGGAAAATTGTACGTACTTAGAATGTATGCGTTCAACGAATGATCCCACTACAAAACGCCTGCTATTTTGCATGTAGGCAATTTACACCACAGTGAAGCACGAACAGTTGCTCCATGAGAATGCCTTTTTTTCGCCGACGTAAAGCTCCGATACTGAACCACTCAGTGCAGAAAGAAATATTTTCGACATACTCCAAAAATCAATCAGAATGTGCAATAGTCTCAAAGAAAATGCCTTTTTAAGAGCCTATTAACTTTGATGAGCTTGCAAAAGTTATTGAAGAGTTAGGAAAAACTGTACTGTTAGTACTTAAAATTGACAAGTTAAAAGAATCAACCATCTACAAAACGCCTGCTATTTTGCATGTAGGCAATTTACACCACAGTGAGGCATAAATAATTACTTTCAAAAAAAAACACGCTCTTTTCACCAGCTGCAAAATGGACCTTGTTTAACAGAAAGGTACCAAGCCACATCAGCTATTGCCAAATTTAACTGGGCAATTTAATTTTTTACTAGAGAAAGTGTGTACGGATTCTTTTGAATATTTTGAGGAATTTGCTTCGCACTATGGAGAAAATCCACTGAAATTTGCACGAAAATCCGCACAACTGTTTTCTTGTAAAAAATTAAATTCCCCAATTAAGTTTGGCAATAGCGGATGTGACTTGGTTCCTTCCTGTTTAACGCGGTCCAAATAAGACGTAGATAGACAGATTCTTTTATGAAAGAACCATCGGCGGCCAATCGAACGACGACTCAGGCACGTCTATCTATGATCTCTCTAACCACGAGCGTTCGAACCCTCATCTCCATCAGCGCCGAACCGTCTGCGTAGACAGAACGGCGTCAAGTGATAAAAAATTCATCTGAATTTCGACATGAGCTTCGGTAATAGCACACTCCGATCTACATAAAGGCTCGTACGGTAGTGTGCATATCGTTTTGTTTCGGCCCGCCAAACTATTAGCAGAATTCATAATCGGGTCACGACAGCTTTATCGGTCTTGTCGGGGCAAAGGTCAGGTAGCTGGTAAGTGTTCCTTTGATAGGTAGCAGATCGGCTTCACGGGCGAAAAAGCCGGAGGCGGGAAAGGAAGAAAAAGAACCCCGTAGCGACTCAGTGTTTTCACTCGCCTCAACGTGCAGTGCGTAACTTTGTGCTTGACACCCTAGACGTAGAGACTCCGTTTTTAAAACCTCTTTATCTGGACGCTGTTAATGAAGTGAAGGTCTGTTTCTGTTATATGCAACTTTAGCTGTCTTTAAAATGGCTTCCTTTTCCAGCTGCAAATAGATTTGCATCCCGAGTGTGGAAAAATGCTTTGCCTTGATTCTATTGTGTCTGGGGATTTTTATTTTGCAATAGCGGTTTTCCATGATTTCCGTATCTAGTTTCCTCGTAGGAACTGTGAAACGTACTTTTGAATCAATGCCGTCAGACCGGTTCTGAAAAATTGAAAAATAAACTGAAGGCGAGACGATCTTCTTGGTGAGTTGGCGACGTTTTGGGTAATTAAACTAGAGGATGGAAACATCTCATTGGTAGAGACCCAAATTGTCAAATATTTGATCTCAAAAAGTATCAAAGAGTGTGTTATGTGAAGAGTTAATTGGGAGGTACAGAGTGGGAGATTCAAAAGATTATACTCCATTTTTAAAATTTTTGGGTTAAACATCCGAAGAAAATAAAAAACTTGCCCAGAGATCGTGCTATTCAGGGTCAACCTTAAGGCTACAAAATCAGATGGTCTTGATGTTGAGACGAAATCGTATTTGAATGCTATAGGGAGTTTTTCGCGTGCTTTAGACTACGCAGTAATACATTATAACAATTTTGTTTTTGCATGCAAGAACAATTATTTAAATAAGGGAGGAAACAAGCTGCAAAGAGAAGACACATTTGGAAAATTCTCAAAAGATACTGCGATATGAAAGAAACATGAAAATAAAAAGGTAGCTAAAAATTTAAACCAGAAAGTCAATTACTCTCAGTCTTTAACCTAGCGTTAATAATCAAGATTTTATCTGAGCCGCATTCTATATCTCTCTCGCATGAAGCTTTTTATCTAATGTAAATATTAGTATCGAGATCGCCCATACATTTAACAGCCTCATGAATGCAAGCATAACGAAAAGAAAAGAAGAAAAAAATGGAATAAAAATAAACACAGGAGAAAGTGAAGAATTTGTATGTACCGATGCCTACTCCGGCATCGTCAACAAAATACAGTTCCTATATTGCAAAGCGGACAAAATAAACTTGACATTGAGGTGTCAACGAATGACTCGCCAATGTAAAAATACAAGGAGCAAAAAGCAAAGAAGACCAGATAAAAAATATCGAACGTTCTTTAGAACCAAGTTGATGAAGAAGGAAATTGAGGTTGAACAGTACTACAGAATGAGGTCGCCAAGAACTAATTGCAAATTTGATAATCTAAATGACTGCGCTCTGATTGTCAATTTTATCATAGGTAGCTTTATAACGGTCACCTATGAGGTCGACAATTTTGCACGCCATTTCCATAAAATGAGCAACAAATCTCTCGCAAAATAATTAGCTCTTTCCACTAAGAAACTAAAAGATTGAACCAGAAGATATTGCATCAACTCAAAGCGTAACATGACTTCGAATAAACTTAGGAGGTAATGCCTCACGTGCATTAGTGGTTTTGAAAAATTAGTTACGCTTTTACAAGAGTTGTAGTTAGTTAATTTATTTAGAGACATTCAGGCTTGGATATGTATACATTGTATACATCGTGAAAATCCATTGAGAAATTGAAATATAGTCAAAATCAGTACATTTTGAGTTTTCTCAAATTTTCCAATGACTCAAAGGCATCGTGTTACATGCGGCATGATTTTAAAAAATCAAAATATCAATAGGATTCACGAGAAAAAGTTAGAATGAAATCATCCTAATTTGTGCTTCCTTTTAAGTGTAGAAATTGTTGGATAGATAGGAGACCACCAACACCAGAGCATGTACAAATATGAAAAATTTACATTCCCCATTTCAACGCATATAATTCACGTAGATCAATGGCTCCTTTTTGAAGTTAGTTAAACGAAAGGCGACGATTTTCCCCGAATTATCCAAAATGTATACTGGAAAAGACGAACGACCGCATTAAGAATTTTCTGCATTCGAAATCTCCCCCACTTTTCATTTGGTTTCCCCATCCCCTCCCCCCAAATAAAAGATCAACCAGCGCGATCAAATGTTTTCAAAATCGTGCAACTTCTTTTTTCTTTATAAAAAATTAAATAAAATACTTAATATATGTACAGTATTAAAATTTACAGATTTATTTTCCTTTAGAAATAACAATTTTTTGGTAGGAGGGAAGAACTTTTTGCTATTCTGGGAGATTTGTTTTGATAATTATGAAGAAACAACATTTTTACAACACTGTAATCACGCTGGTTCTTTTTGCTAAATACGATCCACTGTCATTTACCCGTGAAAGTGTAAGAAAATGTCTTATGCAAGCTTCCGGGATTCTTTAAAAAATTTAAGGCAGCACTGTTAAACTGTTTTTCTAAAAAAAAAAAAATAAAAAAAAATGAACAAATGAATAAATAAATAAAACAAATTTAAGAGAAAATTCCGCTACGTTTCTTTCTTGTGTCATTCGACAAGTTTAAATTCCCCACATGCATAGTATGCCCCTTTATGTCCTACAACGTTGCTTGACTTTTAAAAAAGTCACCTATCCTCTAATAGCACTCTGTTCGTATTATGTAACTGTACGCTTATTGAGTTCCGTATCTTTTTGGATTTTTCTTGCGATATATTTTATTGCATTTATTTTATTTTAATTATTATTTGAGTCTACAAAATGCAACCTTGCAACTGCAGCAAACCTAAGATAAGGCGCGCGCACCATGCTTGGCGCACGCGTTCGCATCATGGTGCAACGGACGGACGGTTTCCTTATGCATCTGTGTGTGCACTTTTATCCGGATGCATTTTTTCACTCCAACTCCATTTGCTTTCCTCCCGAGATAAGAGCCATTACATTATTATTTGGAACTATTTACAAGCACCTAATGACCAACTTTCCACTCGCTGATCCAATTATCTTCCTTTCGACCATTTTCGTTATACAATGTAATTTACATTGATCAAGGATCAAGATTTTTTTTAGAAAAAGAAAGAAAAGAAAAAGAAATGGTGTTTTGTGGTTGACTGCTCTCTGTTACTCAAAATCTCCATCTTGAATTCAAATGATAATTTTGCGGTGATAAAAAAATGAGTGGACCTTTCTCTCAAGATTATGTGAAGAATTCACACGAGGCTGCGAGGAAAGACTAAAATTGAAGTAATTAAATAAACTAAGCAAATGAAACAATTTGAGCGGAAAATGCATAAAAAAACCTGTCAAAGTGTCTGTGTATGCACCACAAATTTTACTTTAAAAATTCTGACGTAAGAACTCGTGGAAGATTATGAGAGTCTAAAGCTCTTGTAGTGTCAATAATTTAACAAAACTTAAATGTGAAACGTGACAATAAATGAACTTCAAAATAGTCGTCTATCATACGGTTGATTCCAAATTTGAGTAATTTTTGTAAGAACCCGAAAAAAGCAATTTGTTTACGAGTTTTTCGTGGCTTTAATTTTTCTAAAACAATTACTGCATACGCTTGCAGCTCGCGAAAGTTTTTCAGTTTTCTTTTCGTAAAAAAAGTTTTTGATACACATGGAAATAAAGGTTACACAAACGCGATTTTTTAAGAATATTTTTATATTACCTACTTCCTCGAATTCTTTGCTTTGAAAGTAGAGAATCCGTGCAATCTGTACCTGTGTTCTATGGATAATGAATGTCGGATCAAAAATTTGAATAATATTTTTACATTATTATATCAGCATTCACAGCACACAGACAGCTGACTCATTACATTACACGTGCTTAGTTGGTAAACATTCAAGCTTAGATGACAGATAACATATCTCAGTGGTTCTCAAGCGCATCGTTAGAGCTGCGACCAGCCGTCTTTTATTCCTTTCATGACATAAAGTTGTAACGAACATTATTCAAAAGAAATTTTGGGTATTTCAAAGGCATTCAAATATTACATGCGAAACATATTTCCGAGAACAGCAATAGAAGTTGTGTTATTGAAAATGTCCTTGTGTAGGTTAATTGAGTCGTCACATCTGACTGACTGACTGACTGTCTGACTGACTGACTGACATCACATTGAATTTGCACGTACCGAAACTCAGAGAGGCATGAATTTGGATTGGGTTGTGTAAAAAAAAAGCCTTAAGGCTAAATTTTCAACAAAAAAAAAACATCCGCACAACTAATTAAATAAATAGTAGAGGTTGAAGCCTTTTCTCTAAAAACTCTACACAAAAATTAACGAAAAAATCCAAGAGGTGCAACTCAATCAACAAGACAATACATTTAATAGAAAGAAATAACCAATAATGCTTACGTTCGTCATTCATTTACCTGTCTAAACAGGAAATCTTTGGTCGCGCTAATTTTAACAATGAGACAAATGTTTGTCGTAGGAACTTGCACGCTTCGCAAGTATCAATGGATGCCTGGACCCTACTTATGAACCCCTACCCACCCCTACCCTACCTACCTACCCTTTCTACTTGAAGGAAATTTCAGAAATCACCGATGAAAAATAAATTCCAAGAAATGCAATGCTCACTAATTTAGTTTCATTTTATCCAAACTCTCTTACATTACGCAGCGTTCTGACTCGTGCGGAACTTCGAATAATTATTTGCATGTATAATCAAAAAAGTTATCTTTAAGATCAGAGTGCGTACAGTTGTTTTGTGGCTTAGGATTTAACTCGCCAGTCGGTGTCAGTCAAAACCGCCAGGGTGCACAGAGTTAAAATGTGTTGACTTTTTTTTTGGTTTGGAATCGAGAGTTTCAGCGAAATTAGTTTCAAAATAATATTTACTCTACGAGCTATCTGCAGTTCTGCAACTACTTTTTAGACAGTGGTTCGTGTGAAGTCGCTTCACGATGAGTGACTTAAAAAAGCACCTCTCAGTCTATTTCCCGGTTTTTAATGAAAAGCGAAAAAATCGATACTTTTCTCCATCCCTGTCAGAGTACGTCTCAAGTAAAATGGCTTTAATTCGGAGACTATTCGTACGGGACAAAATGAAGTATTGTGATGAAATTGTAAGTTTTTATTTATCTCTAAAATATTTAAAAATGACATGACTCTTAAGAACACCTTT